CCCCAAAACCCCAAAACCCCAAAACCCCTCATTATGGCAATTAAATAGAAAATTTTAAATGGAGCAGCCAGGCCTATATTTAAGAAGATGTAAAGAGTTATGGATTCTTCATTGAGAAAAGAAAAGAATCAAGACAATAGTTGATTTTATTGAAGCATACTTGGACTCTTTGAGTAGTAAGTAGCAAAAGGGAAATTGCCCTTTTTGGTTTGGTCAACTGCTGACGTGGTATTAATTCATCATTTATAGAAGAAAAACAATCTGAAAGCAAATCAAAGAATGCATCTACCTCTAAGAATTTTTTCTTGAGAAGAATTAAGAAACTTATGAAGTATTACTCTAAAGGAGTTAAAATTTTGAATCTCAATGCCAGCCACTTTTGCTCTAAAGATGGAAAGAAGGTTCTGAAATTGATTGAAGCCATTAGACCAAGAGAGATTATGGAATATGATCTTATATCTCCTCGTTATAGTCGTGTACATATGTATCATAAGTATTTACTAAAAGATATTAGATTAATGCCTTTCGTGGTAAACAGGCTGAAGATTGAAGAATGTATTATCCACAATTTACAACTAGTAAGAATTCTTGTGCTCTCTAGGCATACCAGAATGGTGATGTTCAAGGAATGCAGTATCAATTCTGTGAACTTAAAGCTCCCTCAAAATATACCATTTCAAACAATTTTTCTATACTTTAAAGACTGTGACGGAATTTACCAAGACGACTGGGGAAATACGCCTTCTCTAGTTAAAGGACTGATCAGATCAATATCAGGCTCTCAAGCTAAGAAATCTTTAAATAGAATATACTTAGGAAAAAGCTTGCTAACAAAAACTCAAATTATTGGCTGGCTCAAGACTTATTCTCTGTTTGACATGACCATATCAATGACAGACATCTGTACCGGAGAATCAAAAGACTATAAGCTTGAATCTAATTCCCTAGCCCCCACTTAATATGAAAATTTCATTAAAACAGTGATAATTGCGAAATTCTATAAATATCCCAACCCCTGGGGTTTTGGGGTTTTGGGGTTTTGGGGTTTTGGGGTTTTGGGG